TCATAAACAGGAAGCACATTGAAGATCTAAAAAACATTAGACAAAACGAAGATAGCAAAAAACGGCTCAGTGTTATTAAAATGAACGCCATCCCGGAAGATCGATCGAAGTCCCTAAAAGCCGATGATGAATAGAACGGAATAGAACGAAAGTTAGCAGAACGTCTCATGTCATCACCGAAAATTCTTGGAAATCAAGGTTTCATCTCTAAACGATCGTACTAGGATTTCCGGCCTTTGGGTATCTCTACAGCCAGTGCATAAATCGGGTCTTCAATTGACACCAATACTGTATATGACTGCGTTTTCATATCATATTTTTCTCAATTATTAGACCCTGTGCATAGAAATATGGCTCACTGGAACTTATAGAAAGGTCGGATTGACGATGACCGCTCTGGACTCTTCCGTCGGTGCCGCTGGATCTACTGCATTGCATCAGGTGGTGATCCAGATCTCACCAGAGTGCTAGCACAATTGAGAGTGAAAAATGCATCCAGTGATTACGGAATAATTCACGTGCAGTGATATAAAGACGGTCCTGCATTGATCAATGTCTGGCGAATTGCGGTAGGCTAGACACTTAGGACATAAAATTATGTACTTTCATTGTGCACATTAAGCCAATGAAGAACAGACTCTTACTTGGCAGAGTTAGATTGCGTTGTTCGGATGAACAAGTACCTAGATTTGATTTTGTTTTGTTATAAAGACTGTTGTAGCATGATTTGTTTGGCACACAGTTTAGACTCAGACAGGTGTGAAATAAATGCATAATATGTAACTAGATGCACATGCATAATGCAGTTAATAGCTTATACTCGCCTGTCAATGGTTCTCACGTCCCCAAACGAAACTTATCGTACAATACGTGAAGATCAGCAAGCAACAAGGAGTCACGAAAAATGTAAGCCAACTCGAGCTCGTGCAGAAAAACAGCATCTGTGTCGGAAGCTCATTGATCTTAGCCATATAAATGTCGCGAAATTGATGACACAGATTGGTCCAATTTTCTAGCTGTTTTAGACACCCCATTGTCTTTTATTTTATCTATTCTTCATTCATTCTATTCTTCATGACTGTTTCACTTGAATCATATGATTAGATCAGTAAAGCGTGACTATTCACGAGCGCTCATTTGGTATCAGAAGAATGCTATCTTCATTTGTCTGTAAATCGATCAATCTTTCGAAATGCATCTCGGATGGTGATTCTCTTCAGTCTAGTTATGCTTGTACTACTAGCACCATGTAATTTCGTGCGTTGGTTCTGGTTGCTGTCTTCCGACTGATTTCTAGAATGAAGGAGTATGAGAAAGATAGGAAAGGTGAAAGTAGAGTCGAAGATAAAATCGAGAATTTCACAGGATTACGATTGCAGAAAAATCGAGATGCACGAAGGTCACTGTTTATGACACTGAGCCATATCACTCAGTGTCTCTAACCATCGATCACAATGATCCCTAGGTCCCCGTCCAGGGAGCCTAACACGACCTACATGAACGAGTCTCCTGGTTAGGGTTTTCATGTCCCGATGCCAGGTCTTAATCTGACCACTCTTGGTTTTCCTCCACCCATTCCCGCACCGGCAAACATCGGGTACCGTGACAATCTATTCGGTGACATGCGCAGCATATGCCCCAACCAAAGTAATTTATTGAGGTCGATCAGTAGCTACAATTGGCGACTACGGTTACCCTAAAATCTGTGCCTAACTTCAGCATAGCTCGTACGGTTTTCCCACCAAACTCGAGCTATGCAACGTAAACAGCAGTGTTCGAACACCGACAGTTTATCTTCATCCTGTTTTCGTAATGATATATGACAAAACTGCTGCGGCATACACTCGGTCCTTTACGGACAGCCGGACGTCACGACGGCGCCACACATATCTCAGGTTGGTAGATGCAAATCGAGCCTTCTGTATGCGAGCTGACACTTCATTTGTGACGCGTCCATTGGGTTAGATACAACTGCCCAAGTAACAAAGCTTGTCCAGGTGTTCTTTGATTTAACTGGTTAGAGTGAATTCGGGAGCTAGACCAACCCAGTCTTGTAGGAACATTTCACATTTTGAAGGTGAAAAACGCATGCCGAACATAGTACCCCATCAGTTATTTTCATGAATAAATCTTTCCAACTTTTAGCTACTGAAGTTCGGTTTCCTTACAAACGGTGCACCACCAAACTTTGTGGAAATCGAAAAATTCTACGTTTATTAGGCTCTCGACCGGAAGAAGTAATGATATAAGTGGATACTTTTACATATGTGCTGTGAGGTAATATCGTACATACTCCCGTGTATGAGGCGCAAAAAACGTAAGACAACGAGATGAAGAGATTTTGGGCAGGTTATGGTGTCGCACAAGTTCGATCCATATTTGTATACTGTACAAAGGTAAGAGAATGAGCAGTATTGTAGATAATGTAAATTTTGGAGCGCACGAGGGCATAAATGCAATCTGCTTAGAGAAAATCCAGTTCAGAATAATCAAAAATATAAACAGGAAATAAGTTCGAAAGGTGCAGAAATACGAGAGGGGAAATGGCAATGATTGGGATGATGAATTAAAAATACACCCAACAAAAATTGCCTATCAGACAAAACTGATCAAGAACGAGTACAATAGAACAACAATGTGGCCAGGAAACGGTTTCTTACCGCCAAGACGGGTTCTGGAATGCGAGGGAGGGTATTGTCGGACAGATCCAATTCCACTAAACGCTCCAATTTATCCAGATCCGTAGGAATATTATCCAATGTTCGCTGAGCTGCGGCCAAGTGTAAAACCTGCAACGTGTGTATGAGTGTTACAAAGCTATCATTGTTGATATCCATAACAAAGAAGCTGATGGGAAAACTAAACCACAGATAATGACAATTCGAATGATAGCATGACAGTACAAAAACCCTGACCGTGGGAAACTCTCATGCAGGTCATATTAGGTTCTTTGGTTGGAGACCTAGGGATCAGTGTAACTGAGCATTAGAGACGGAGTGATATGTCTAAGTTTTGAACGGTAGTGGTCGTGCACCTGCTCAACTTTATCGCAATAAATCAACCTGAGTACCCCATTTTCAACTTATTACTGTTCTCAACATTCCAAGTTTCCCTTTACTCGTAATTTAAATGGGTAGTCAAAAGACGCAACCAAAACCGCCGCACGAAAGTGTATGGCTGAAGAAGCTAAGATCGGGAAGCCAGACCGCCACGAACATTAATTATTGTGGCACTTTTATCAGTATATTTCTTGACTCCTTCAGGGACTCATCTCGTTGTGAAGTCACGCCTCACCAGCTTGAAGTCTTAGTTCAGCAAACCAGAGAAAATCACAAGGGAGATTAAGGGGTATGAGGGGAACACATTGTTGTCGGTGTCTGTTCGTCATAGCAGTTTCAGTTTTACAACCATTAACCATGCACTTTCGTGCGCCGGTTTTGGTTGCTGTCGTTTGGTTGCCCATTTGGATAAAATAGCGAAATGAAGATTGGAATGTCGAAGCAAACTCAAGCGGAAGATGGGTAATACATATAGAGTGAGATGGGGAATACATATAGTGTGTTAGGAAGATAACGAGTGGATGCACGAGCGCCACTGTTTGCGAAACCTAGCCATATCACTCAGTGTCTCTAACCATCGGTGACCATCATCCCGAGGTCCCTAGCCAGGGAGCCTAAAAGGGCCTATGTGAGCCAGTCTCCTGGTTAGGGTTTTCATACCCTCATGCCAGGTCTTAGCTTGACCGCCCTTTGTTTTTTTCCAATCGCTACCAGCCTTGGCAAACATTGTTCGCCGTGGCAACCTATCTGGTGACAGGCGTAGCACATGCCCCAACCAGCGTAATCTATGGAGGTCGATCACTTGTTCCAGTGG